TGGGGCCCGCGGATCATGTTACTAATCCGAGCGGGTCATCCGATTCCTGTAGCTGACGCCTCTTTTGGGTTCTCGCGCTGCCAGAATGCCATTCCCAGGCTACGTTTGTGAGTGAATTGTGAGGAAATCCTAAGCGGGAGCCCCCTCCCTATGGGGCCCGCGGATCATGTGACTAATCCGAGCGGGTCATCCCATTCTTGTAACTGACGCCACTTTTGGGCTCTCGCGCTGCCAGATGGCCATTCCCAGGCCGCATTTCTGAGTGAACTGCGAGGAAGTCTCAAGCGGGAGCCCCCTCCCTATGGGGCCCGTGGATCATGTTATTAATCCGAGCGGGTCATCAAATTCTTGTAACTGTCGCCACTTTTGGCCCTCGCGCTGCCAGAACGCCACTCCCAGGCCACATTGTGAATGCCCGGAAGCAGCCGTAGGCTACTTCGTGTTCTTCGTGCTCCCAGAACACCACTCCCGGGCCTTATTTTGAATGCCCGGAGCCAACTGTAGGCCACTTCGTGCTCTTCGTGTTCCCAGAACACCAATCCGGGGCCACGTTCTGAATGTCCGGAGCCAAAACAGGAGGGCGAGGTCGGGGGCAACGTAGGGAGCGGGGGGAGGGCCCGCGCCAGGGCGAGAAAAAATATACGCAGAAGAGCCAGCCAGGACGCCTCACCAACCACGAGGACGACGGTGAGGGCTTTTTCCAGATTCGCCCAGAGGATTCTCATGTGGGGTCCTTCCGTCCGAGTAATTTATTATTATTATTATTATTCATATCATTATTAGTATTATTCGTATTATTATTATTATTGTTATTATTATTATTATTATTATATTTTTATTATTGATATTATTATTGATATCATTATTATTATCGTGCTTATTATTATCATTATCATTATTATAATGAGTATTATGATTATTATGACCATTATTATTGTTCTTATGATGATGATGATGATTAGCATTATTATTATTATTATTATTATTATTTCTATTACTTTCAGTATTATTTATTATGTATTATTATTACTACTATTATTATTACTATTATTATTATTGTTATATAGTGCGCCGCGGGACCGAGCTGATAGTGGGCTTCTGCGGAGCAAGCGTGCACGGGTGCGCTGAACTCCGTTTGGGGCACGGTCCGCGTGAAGGGGGTGCCGATTAATCCAGGTGCCCTCGTGCGAACCCGCATGCTGAGGCCGCAGGTGGATCGCCTTGTGGCGCGGGACCCGTGTGAGGCATGTGCCAAAATTCACGGGGGGACACAGCGCAAAGTTGCCCAGTGGTCGCATTGGCGGAGTTCCTTCCAGGGCACGATTCGCGTGCACAATGCGCCAGCATGGGCGGAGGGACGATCTGCAAACCTCATCTCTGGGGCTGTGGGTGGTGCTCCCTGTGGGGCCTGTTCCGCGTGAGGGGTGTGCCGTAATGGGCGGGGGGAGGGGGGCGCTATGCAAACCTTGTCTCTGGGCAGTCGATGGAGCTCCGTGGGGCACGATCAGTGTGAGAGGTGTGCCGAAGTAGTCGTGGGGGCGGGATGCGAACCTTGTCTCTGGGGCCGTAGGTGGCACTCCCTGCAGGGCACGATCAGTGTGAGATGTGTGCCGACATGAGTGGGGCGACGCTACGTGAAGCCTTCCTTTAAGTGCAGTTACCTGCGGGGCAGCACTATCCGCGTGATGTGTGTGCCGCTATGCAATGGGGCCGTATGTGGAGCCCCCTGTGGGGCACGATCCTTGTGAGGGGTGTGCCTAGATGTGTGGGGGGCTGTAGGTAGAGCTCCCTGAGGAAGGATGTGCCGAAATGGGCGGGGAGACGCCATTCAGTGCAGGTGCTCTCACGTGGTGATCGCGGTGGGACAGCGTGCGTACCCGTCCGCTGATTGATCTGACGCTGGCTTTGCCTTGGCTAGAGCATAAGTGCGCGAAGCGCTCGCGCGCGTTGTTCTAGCTTTGTTTATGCCATTTCCTTGTCTTTGAGAAGACCGCTGAATCAGCCACCTGCGTGTGGACGATGGAGAATCAGGATTCTCGCGTCGTGAAAACATCGCGACAGACGGCTTTCGACGGTTTTTGGCTTCTGGGGGCCCTCAACGGGGCCCTGGACCGCAACAACAACAACAACAACAACAACTCCTCCTCCTGCTGCTGCTCCTCCTCCTCTTCCTCCTCCTGCTGCTCCTCCTCCTGCTACTCCTCCTCCTGCTGCTGCTCTTCCTCCTCCTCCTCCTCCTTCTCTTCCACCTCCTCCTCCTCCTCCTCCTCCTCCTCCTCCCTGGAATGCCCATCCTGGGGAAAAGAGATCTGGACCTCTGCGGGGCCACGCCGTGGAAAAAAGCAAGCGCTGCGCCCGGAGTTCGGGGGACGGGGGGCGGGCGGAGGAGGCATCCGGTGGAGGGGTGGGGATAAGAGGGAGGGAGCGATCGAATCAGAACAGACGCCATAAGCATAAACAAGAAGGGATCGAATGAGAAAAATAGGGAGGGCGGGATCGAATGAGAGGGAGGGAGGGGTCGAAGGAGAACAAACGCCATGAACATACACTTTTGGCGCCCTGCGCGGATTTCTTCTTGGATCCGCGACGGGCCCTGGCCCTGCTCCCCCCCCCCCGCGCGTCCACTTCCCTTTGCCAGCGCAGATCTCTCCCTGCTCCGTTTCCCTCTCGCCCCCAGCTTCCCCCTACCTCCTCTCCACTTTTGCATGCGTGCTCTCTCTCTCTCTCTGTCTCGCTCTCTCGCTCTCTCTGTCTCTCTGTCTGTCTGTCTGGCTGGCTGGCTGGCTGGCTGGCTGTCTGCCTGCCTGTCTGCCTGCCTGCCAGCCTGCCTGCCTGCCTGCCTCTGCCTGCCTGCCTGCCTCTGTCTGCCGGCCTCTGTCTGTCTGTCTGTCTGTCTGCCTGCCTGCCTGCCTGTCTGTCTGTCTGTCTGTCTGTCTGTCTGTCTGTCTGTCTGTCTGTCTGTCTGTCTGTCTGTCTGTCTGTCTGTCTGTCTGTCTCTCTCTCTCTCTCTCTCTCCCTCTATCTCTCTCTCTCTCTGTCTCTCTCCCTCTCCCTCCCTCTCCCTCCCTCCCTCCCTACCCCCCTCCCTCCCGCCTCATCCCTCTCTCCCCTCCTTCCCTCCTGGCCGGGACCATTTTTCTGGGCCCAAGAGCGGTGCAGACGGCGCCCGGGCCGGGCAGGGAGGGCGAACACGCCGATCCCAGAAGCAGGAGGCAAGTCCCCAAAAGCGGCGTCAATGCATTCCCAGACATGTTCGCGTCGTAAGTTACGACGGCGAAACACCTCCGCCCTGGATGCTGTATAAGCATTCAGGACGGAGGTTTTTCGCCGTCCTCGGCCTCTGGAGGCCCTCGCGGGGCCCCAGGGCTGGCCGTCCAAAGACGACACAGGATGCAAAAAGTCTGGTCCCAGGGAAAGGGTCGGACTTCTGGGGTCGCCGTCTGGAAAAACATCAGGACGTCGCCTGTCTGGGCAGCTGTCGCCGCCTGGCGGTCGCGAGCTCTGGCTTCGCGTGTCGCGCCGCCGCTTCTGGCCTGCGGCAGGTTCGTGTCGTGTCGACCGGCGGCGACCCTGCCAGCGGCGTGCAGCGTTGAACGCCACGGGCGACCTAGAATCGTTCGATGTAGAACGATTTGGACGTTTCTCGGAAACTGGAGCATATACATTACCAGTGGCGGGCGGTTTTTTCAATCCCAGGACTTTTTTGAGGGTCGGGGACGACGTCGGGGTGGAGTGGTGCATACTTTTTCCCCCGCTTTCCTGGGGAAGCAGCGAAGAATGTACACACCAGGCTCCCGTATGCACCAGGATCCGCTCTCCCGTGCGAGGCTCGGTGCGAGTCCAGACAAGAGGCGTCGGTGTAGAGAGTTCGGTTCCCCACTTTCGGAAGCGGCCGAGCGTTCGAGGTCGCACGATCCCCGCGGTGTCAGCAGCCAGCGCCGAGGTCGGCACGGCGCGCACCGAGGCGCGCCGCGCCTCGGCGCGGCGCGCCACCCGCGGCCCCGTCCCCGAGTACCGACGCCCCAGACCTTTCGGGGCCCCTCGCCTCCCCGTCCCCGCCCCCCCCCCCCCCCCCCCACGGGGGGAGGAGCACCAAACGACCCCACGAGGGGAGGGCGAGGATCACCACCCACCAAACGACCCCAGCCCAACCCGAAGGCCCCAACTTTCCCTCCGTTTCCAGTAGGGGGGAGTGGTCGGGGAACACGGAAAAAACATATGGAACCCGTACCCACCCCCCCAACCCGAAATTCGGATCAAGTTCGGGTCTTCGGGTGGGGGTGGGGCGGTAGGAGGGGGCAAGACGTGCGGCCAGGGCTGCTCCGCCAGCGAACCGCTGGGCGCCCCCTTGTCGTCGTCGTGCTCGTCCTCGGGCGTCGTCTTCGGGAGCCCTCGTGGCTTGGGCTCGGGCGCAAGAGGCTCCGGGAGCGCCCCCGCGGCTGGCGGGAGAAGACAAGGTAGGGCAGAACATGCATGCACGTGCAGTGGGGGCGCGTGCCAAGAAACCAGTTGGATTTTGCCAGGGTGCCCTGGGTTTCTTGGATTTTGTTGGGCTCCCAATCGGATCTTGAGGATTTTCGATCGACACATGTGGATCTTCACTGAACGCATCGCGTATTTCAGGGTCGGGTTTCTTGCGGAGGCTTCTCGTGGCCGAGCTTTTACGGTACACGCGCCATCTTGCAGCAGATCGTGCGGGGAATCATCGCCGTCGTGCGCTGCACCGGCACGGCGACGATGCTCCGAGCAAGCGTGACGAAACACGGACACAATTCATCGTCGATCCCCAAGAAAATACGGGAAAACATGGGAACTGGGCGGGAAGGCAAGAACCCAGAAGATATGGGGAAATAGGGGGAACCTTTTTATTTGTGTGTATTTCTTTTGTGTGTCCTGGGGCCCCTTGAAAAACAAGCACGCGTCGGCGGTCGTGGCGGAGGGCCCCCCTGCCAACGCGCGGCCCGCCGCGCTCCCCCCGAGCCCGGCGGACGCCCGCCCAGGCCGACGAGGAGGGCGACGCGGGCAGCGACGGCGAGGAGGAGCCCCGCCGTCCTGCCGAGCAGCGGCGTCCCCGGACCTCCTCGAGTCCTCCTCCTCCTCCTCCTCCTCTCCTCCTCACCTCCTCGAGTTTTAAGTTTTGCTCCTCCTCCTCCTCCTCCTCCTCCTCCTCCCCCTCCTCCTCCTCCTCCTCCTCCCTCCTCCTCCTCCTCCTCCTCCTCCTCCTCCTCCTCCTCAATCACGACGGGAGGTTTTTCGCGATTTTCGGCCTCGGAGGGTCCTTACCGGACCTCGGGACCGTCAAAAAACGACTCGGGACGAAAAACTGGTCCCGGGGAATGGGTCTGGACCTCTGGGGGTCGCGTCATGACCAAATCATGACGTCGGGGGTCTGGGTCGGCGTCGGCGTCGGCGTCGACGTCCGCAAGGTCTCTTAGGGGGCCTCTCTGGAGCTGGGGTAGCTGGCCGGGATTGAGCCTGGCGGGGTCCATTTCAGTCCGATCGATCCGGCCGGGTCTCGGTGTCGGCTGGCCCGACGCGATTCGGCTCCGGTATCGTAGACGCTTCGCGTAACCCCGCCAGCCCATGCAGAGACGATGCCTAGACGAGTTGCCCTGATCTTGGGTGTGGGGTAATGCAGTGGAAGACAGGGTTGGGAAGGACATCGTGTCCAAAGAGGGGGAGGGTGGAGGAGGAATTGGAGGAGGAGAGAAGGAGGAAGAGGAGGCAGAGGTGGGGGAAGGGGAGTAGGCAGGATGGAGGAGGCGGGGTAAGTGGATGAGGGGGAGAAGGAGGAGGAGGAGGAGGAGGAGGAGGAGGAGGAGGAGGAGGAGGAGGAGGAGGAGGAGAAGAAGGAGGGGGAGGCGAGCAGCCTGCAGGAGTTCTCCGAGAAACCGAAAAACCCTGGAAACATGAAACCCTTAGCCACTTAAGGCGGGAGGGGGAGGCGAAGCCTCAGAAAGTAATGCCGAAACAAGTTCAGGCGCGGGGGGGCAGCGGGGCCCCCGTCTTGGGGTGAAAGCCCCGCTCCACCAGGTTCGCCTTCCTCTTCTGGTTGGCCCTGGTGGCGGGATTGGAAGACGGCCCCACACACTTCGAATTCAGATTCGAGCGTCCGCTCCACCCCTCCTCCCCCGACGACGAGGTCCCACACTGGGTGCAGCAGACCAGGAGGTGGAGGAGGAGGGGGAGGAACAGCGGGAACAGAAGAGCCAGAAGCCTTTTGAATGCTTCTCACTCGGAGATGAGCCTGAAGCCTCTGAAATGCTTCTCGGAGTCTCCTCCTCGAATGTCTCTTGGAAGCTTTTTACCTAACAGCTCTTGCTGATAGGTTTCTAGTGGTCTCAAAAGAGAGCAGCAGATGACTCCTCAGGGGGGTCGGGGCGGGACCCGGACAGGCTGCCGCCGCGGCTGCCGCCGAAGCCGAAATCGCTTGGGACATCCTCGCAAAATCGCTCTGGGTGCTCCCAGAACTCCATTCCCGGGCCACATTTTGGATGCCCGGAGCCAACTGTAGGCCACTTCGTGCTCTTCGATTTCCCAGAACTCCATTCCCGGGCCACATTTTGGATGCCCGGAGCCAACTGTAGGCCACTTCGTGCTCTTCGATTTCCCAGAACTCCATTCCCGGGCCACATTTTGGATGCCCGGAGCCAACTGTAGGCCACTTCGTGCTCTTCAAGTTCCCAGAACTCCATTCCTGGGCATGATTTTGAATGCCCGGAGCCAACTGTAGGCCACTTCGTGTTCTTCTAGTTCCCAGAACTCCATTCCTGGGCCACATTTTGAATGCTGAGGCAGGCTGATGCTGCGGCCGAGGCAGGCTGAGGCTGAGGCAGGCTGAGGCTGAGGCCGAGGCTGAAGGCAGACTGAGGCTGAGGCTGAAGCAGACTGAGGCTGAGGCTGAGGCAGGCTGAGGCTGAGGCTGAAGCAGGCTGATGCTGAGGCAGGCTGAGGCTGAGGCTGAGGCTGATGCAGGCTGAGGCTGAGGCAGGCTGAGGCTGAGGCCGAGGCTGAAGGCAGACTGAGGCTGAGGCTGAGGCTGAGCAGGCTGAGGCTGAGGCTGAGGCAGGCTGAGGCTGAGGCTGAGGCTGAGGCTGAGGCTGTGACTGCGACTGCCGTTGCCGCTGCGACTGTCATCGCGAATGCGACTACGACTGCGAGAACAGCAGAATTCGACAACTGGATTTTCATCTGAATCTTAAGGGGAATGCTTTCAGATATGCTTCTACACATCGCTGTTAGGTTGCTTTGCCGGGATACTTAGAAACCTCTTGGAGCGTCTGGGGGGGCATCTTGGCTAGCCCAAGGTAGTTTTTGAGCGTCTTGGGTGCCTCGGGGATCCTGTTGAGGCCCCTGAAGGGTCTCTTGGGAGCCTTTTGGAGGCCTCTTGGAGGCTCCTTTGGGCCGTCTGGGCGCCTCTTGGGGCCCTCTTGGGGCGAACTTTGGAGCTTTGGGGCCGCTCTTGGGGCCATACTGGAGGACTTCGATCCCAAAAAAGGGGAGCTTTCAGTAGCGTGGCCCATCGGGAGCCCCAACAATCGCCCCTTGGGGCGCCTTTTGGGTGCTTTTTGTCGCTCTGGGGAGGTTCCGTGGCCACTTGGGGTCGTATTGGAACGGTCTTGGAGTTTCTTGGAGCATGTTGAAAACCATATCGGGCCATCTTGGGCCTCTTGAGCAATTTTGGAAGTCATCTTGGGCTCTCGGAGGCCTTTTTGGAGCCATCTTGGGCCATCTTGGACGCCCCAACCCCTCGCGAAACGCCCCCTCCAGGTCCAGGGGAGGGGGGGTAAGGGGGAGGGGGCAAGCTACCCCCTCCCCGCCCGCAAGCCGTCTCGCTCACTCCCACCCGCCCTCCCAACACATACGTAGCACCCGAGTCTGGCCCGAGCCTGAGCATATTCAGCAGTCGTCTTTGGATGGGCAGCTACTGCGGGCCAATCCGCCGCCGCCGCCGCCGCCTCCGCCGCCGCCGCCGCCGCCGCCGCCGCCGCCGCCGCACGCCGCCGCGCCGCGCCGCTGCCGCGCCGCCGCCCGCCGCCGCCGCCGCCGCCGCCTCGCCGCCCGCCGCCGCCGCCGCCGCCGCCGCCCGCCGCCCCCCGCTGCCAAACCGCCGCCGCCGCCGCAGCCGCCTCCGCCACCGCCACCGCCGCCGCCGCCGCCGCCGCAGCCGCCGCAGCCGCCGCCACCGCCGCCGCAGCCGCCGCAGCCGCCTCCGCCGCCAAGTGTGCTCTGTATTGTTTTTTGGCAGGGATGTTGGGGGGGGGCACATCGGGTTGGCTGCGCATGTTCCGAATTTGGAGGCAGAGTGTGTTTTGTAGTGTCTTCTACAAGGGATGGTGGTGGGGGGGTTGGCATGGACCCTGGTTGGCCCCCAGTCGCCTGGGGGAGGGGGTGTTTATTAATAGGGAACAATGATAAACCCCTCCCCGAATGGGAAGAGGGAGGGGTGGAAGAGGAAACGATCTAAACCACTTTCGTCCAGAAGGCTGGTGGGATTCCCACGATCCAGTGCGTCCCGACGTTTACATGGCGCTGTTGCGCATCTTTGCGCAGCCGATCCATTCCATTTCGATTCCGTGCCGATGCAGCCCGATCCGATGCACAGTTCGAATCGACCCGATCTGCCGATTCGGTGCTGACTGATCCTGCCCTAATAATATGATGTTCCCACCGACTTTAACCTCGACCACCAGAGAGAATTCCGAGCACCAGGAACGCACCGAACTTGAAGGTTGTTTCACGTGTCGGGCTTTGGGAGGCGATGCTCGTTCGACACTTCGCTAGCGTGTCGGGCAGGCACTGATTCGATGTTGCTCTGGGTGCTTGAACATAGTTATCTTCATGATGAGGTCCCCAAGTACGATGGGAACAGCCTACCCGTGGGAGGGGTCCATTGCCTGTTTTTTTGTCTGCAGCGGGGCGGGGGGGTGTTGGGCAACGGGGTGCTGCCCCCGACGGTGGGGGCCAGATGTCACCGAGGAGAACCTGACTCCCCTGGTTTCTCCGCGAGCTTTGCTGCCGCTGTCTCGTTTCGTGGAGGAGGAGGAGGAGGAGGATCTTGCTCCTCTTGCGCTGTCCTGCCGCCCTTCTCGTCCTACAGGAGAGCAGGGCAAGAAGCCCCGCCCTGAGGACGCGTGCTCTGTTGGAGGAGGAGGTTCGTCGGCGTGCTGCTTCGAGTGAGGCCCTCCCGTCGGCACGCCGACCGCCAGGCACTGCTGCGCTGCCCGCGCACTCGCGGGTCGTGGGCCCCCTTCCTTGCGCTGGCCCGCCCTCTCCCCCACGTGGAGCTGCGAACGCACTCTGCGGGGTCGAAGCACGATTCTGATGAGGATCCGCTGTTGCCTCCGCACCCAGGGGAGGGTGGGGAGTCTTCTGACTAGCACTGTTCTTTTGGCGCCTGCACCTCTCTCTGTTGCAGGCGCTCTTTCCCAGATTTCCTGGACTCTGGAGGCGTTGGCGTGGATATCAAACAAAACTTGTAGATGGCTTGCGCACTGCTGCCATCTGGGACTCGTTCGCGGACTGATGGGCCCCACAGGCGGAGCTAGTCTCAGCGCAGGAACGTTTTTTTGCACCTTGAGATTGCCACGTCAGAGCAAACGAAAATGAACTTGGTGGCGCGCACGAAGGGGCAGGTGAGGGGGGTAGGGGAAGGGGGTTAGGGGATCTAGGCCTCCTCGATGGGGTCCGAGTAGATGGGGTCGGAGGATCGCACCGCATCGCCGATGCATCGACGATGCGGCTCGATGTGCAGCCCGTGTTTCCCCACACCGACGTCGCCGATGCATCGCCGATGCATCGCCGATACATCGGCGATGCATTGGCGATGCGGCGAGATCCTTCGACCTCGTCTACTCGGACCCCATGCATGAGGCGTCTCTGATCACTGTCACTTGTGTGCAGGGTGCGCGGAACTGTAACAATCTTCGCCTTCAGTTACGTTGTTCCCATCGTACGGAAGGACAACATCTCAGAGATATGTTCGAGCACCGAGAGCACTATCGAAGCAGTGTCTGCCCGACACGCTAGCAAAGTGTCGAACGAGCATCGCCTCCCAGGGCCCGTCAGTCTGGGTACTTTCTTGGTGCTCAGAATTCTTTTTGGCTGTGAAGGCTAAAGTGTGTTGGAACATCGTAAGCCTTCAGCCTCCGACAGTCAACTCGCACAGCAAGGATGAGCAACTTTCCAGGGTTACCCGTGCACCCTTCCCCGTCGGCCCATCCTTGGCCGCTTTCGCTGGCCGTGCCCCGCTCGCAGAGAGTCGACATGGCCTTCCACGGCCCTCGCATCCTTATCGTGTGTCCTTCGGTTGACTGTGAGGCTCGTGGTAGACTCTCGGGGTGTCTTCGGTCGGGAATCTTGGCGTAGCGTCTCGCGCAGCCGATTCCAGACCACCATGCTTAGGCGCGACACGCCATCCGTTTCCTGGCCCCCAGGCGTCCACGTCCCGAGCTCTTCCCAGCCCCCCTCCCCGCGGAGCGGAGCGAGGCGATCCGCTGGTACAGCATAGGATGTCGCAGGGGCCGCTTCCGCGACAGGCTGTGCAGAAGTTCCTGACCGTACAGTAGGGATCCATTCGGGTATAGCCAGGAACCCACGTGAGGGGACCAGGTTAGTGGTAGGGCTCGGGGGCCCTTGAATTGGCCAGAAACACTAAAACCAGGTCTGCCGTAGCTGGTGTTTTTCGGGTGACGGCAGTTCCGGTCAGTGGAACGGGGCGGGGGGGGCCTCCCCCAGTACACATCACTAAACCAGGTTCCACTAAACCCAGTTCTGCCAACGCCCGATCCATAGAGGTGTCAGGGCTGCTTCTCGCCGGGTGTGTGTGTGTGTGTGTGTGTGTGTGTGTGTGTCGGCACAGCGACTGCTGCCGGGCGGGCGCGCCTCCGTGGGGCCGCGCCGCTGCCGACGCCGTGCGCGTCCCCACTACGGCTCCGCGTGCCTGGCCGCAGCCTGAGCAGCACCGCCCTGGGCCGCCCAGGGCGCCCCGCCGCAGTCCCCGCTGCGTGAGCGCGTGAGTCCCTTTCTTGCCTTCCGCGGCCGCTACAGTCATCGTGGGTGGACAGAACCCCCACCCTGACACGTCGACTAGTGAATTGTCAGTTTTCGGTTCTTGAGAGGGCGCCGCGGCCGTCATTTTCCAGGCTTGCGCCCGCGAGATTTGGGCCCGAGGTCGTTTTCACTAAACCACGTTTTACTACAGGGGGTTCTGTCCATCCCCGAAGTCAACCCGCACAGTGCGGACTGGCAAGATTCCCAAGGGTTCCCTTGCATTCCTGCCTCCTCGGGCCATCCTTGGCCACATTCGTTGGCCGCGCCTCGCTCGAAAAGCTTCGAGACGGCCTTCCGAGGCCCTCGCGTCCTCATCGCGCGGCCTTCTGATACTGGTCGACTGCGCTCTCTTCTCCTCCTTTGGCCCGCGCATGCGGGCAATCCCCGCCGTGCCGTCGTCCGGCTTGCGGAGCTCGCGTGCGGGACTGCATCTGCCGCACTGCGACCGAACCCTGAGATCCGACGTTGGAAAAAATGTAGCATCGCAACAAAAATCGCGACTGGAGCCCCAGACCCAATCTTCATGCGTCATATTTCGAGCCGGATTGATCTGTGAGGGTCCCGGAGCCCGAAATTGAGCGAAAACGCCCAGCGCTGGGATCTCAGGGAAGAAGTGCCTGGCCGCAGGTCCTGCTCGCGAGCGCTGCGCCCGGGGAGCGCGCCGGCGACCGCACGGCATCGCCGAAACACCACGAGGTCCTCGCGGTGCCGCGCAGCGCCCCCCGCGGAGGCGCCCTGCGGAGGGGTGAGCGCCGCTGGCTGCCCGGGGCGTGGGGGAGGTGGCGCGGTGCGGAGCCTCGCGCCGGGAGGCTGGGCGCGGAGCGCCCGCGTCGGCGACGCGCAAGGGTGACCTTTGCGGGCACTCCTCCTCCTCCTCCTCCTCCTCCTCCTCCTTCTCCTCCTCCTGCTCCTCTTCCTCCTGCTGCTGCTCCCTCTCCTTCCTCTCCTCCTCCTCCTCCTGCTGCTCCTCCTCCTGCTGCTGCTCCCTCTCCTCCCTCCTCTCCTCCCTCTCTCCTCCTCCTCCTCCTCCTCCTCCTCCTCCTCCCCTCCTCCTCCTCCCCCTCCTTTTCCTCTCCTCCTCCCCCCCTCCTCCTCTTCCTCCTCTTCCTCCTCCTCCTCCTCCTCCTCCTCCTCCTCCTCGGGGGGCCCGAGATCGGCTAATTACACGTGAGAGTGACCCTTCTCGCTGGAGTGACCTTTGGTGCGGGCACATGGGGGTCCCCAGATGGCTGCAGGCGAAGCGACAGCAGCGTCCTGCGCGCTAGGTCCTGGCCCGAGTCTTGGCCTCCCCGCGGCCCCAGTGAGTCGCACACAGAGGAAGAGGAGGAGGAGGAGGAGGAGGAGAAGGAGGAGGAGGAGGAGGAGGAGGAGAGGGAGGAGGAGAGGGAGGAGGAGAGGGATGATGATGATGCTGATGATGATGATGATGATGATGAGGAGGATGATGATGATGATGATGATGACGAGGAGGAGGAGGATGATAATGATGATGATGATGATGACGAGGAGGATGAGGAGGAGGAGGAGGGGAGGGAGGAGGAGGGGGATAATGATGGTGATGATGATAGTGATGATGATGATGATGATGATGAGGAGGAGGAGGAGCGAGGGGGAGGAGCGAGGATGATGGAGGATGGGGGGAGGAGGATAGCGGATAGAGGGTGAGAATAATGGAGGGTAGAGGATGAGTAGGATGATAATCATGATGCTTATGATCATGACGATGATGCTGATAATGCTGATGCTGATGCTGATGCTGCTGCTGATGCTGCTGCTGCTGATGATGATGATGCTAATGGTTCGGATTATGATGATGCTGATGCTGCTGCTGCTGCTGATGATGATTATGATGCTGGAGCTGGTGATGCTGGTGATAATGGTGTTGATGGTGATAATGATGATGATGTTGTTGTTGATGACGATGTTGCGAATGACGATGGCGATGTTGATTATGATGATGATGATGATGATGATGATGATGAGGATGATGATGATGATGATGATGATGATGATGATGATGATGATGATGATGATGATGAGGCGGAGGATGACTAGTATGATGATGCTGCTGTAGATGATGATGCTGCTGACTAGAATCATGGTTATTATGATGATGGTGATTATTATGATGATGGTGATGGGTATGCTGATTATGATGCTGATGATGATGATGATGCTGATGAGGATGCTGATGACGATAGTGATGATGAGTATGCTTCTGATGATGACGATCATGCTGATGCTGCTGCTGATGATGCTTATGATGCTGCTGCTGATGATCATGATGCTGATGCTGATGCTGATGATGATGGTGATGATGATGATGATGAGGAGGAGGAGGAGGAGGATGAAGAGGAGGAGGAGGAGAGGAGGAGGATGACAAGGAGGAGGGGGAGGAGGAGAAGGGCGAGGAGGATAGAGGATCAGGGGAGAAGGATAGAATATTGAAGGTTTGAACAACGGGGGGTAGATGATGAGTAGTATGATGATGGTGATGATGGTGATGGTGATGATGCTGATGCTGATGCTGATGATGATGCTGCTGATGATGCTGCTGATGATGATACTGATTTTGATGATGATGATGATGAGGATGACGATGATGCGACTGACGCTGGTGATCATGATGCTGAGGCGGAGGAGTAGGAGGACGAGGATGATGAATCTGCTGATGATGATGCTGATGCTGATGCTGAGGATGATGCTGCTGCTGATGATGGTGATGATGATGGTGATGGTGATCGTGACGATGGCGATCATGTGGAGGAGGACAAGGGGGAGGAGGAGAGGTGGAGGAGGAGGAAGAGGAGGAAGAGGAGGAGGAGGAGGAGGAGGGCGAGGATAATGGAGGATGCAGGGAGGAGGATAGAGGATTGAGGATGACTATATTGGAGGGTAGAGGATGAGTATGATGATGCTGATGATGATGATGATGCTGATGATGATGCCGATCATGGTGATGATACTGATGATGCTGATTATGCTGATGATGCTGATGATGCTGATGATGATTACGATGACTATGCTGATGATGATGGTGGTGGTGATGATGCTGTTGTTGATGATGCTGACGATGATGCTGTTGTTGATGATGCTGCTGATGGTGGTGCTGGTGATGGTGATGGTGATGGTGATGGTGATGGTGATGATCATGATGATGATGATGATGATGATGATGATGATGATGATGATGATGACGGTGTTGATGGTGATGGTGATGATGATGATGATGATGATGATGCTGATGATGATGATGATGATGATGATGATGATGATGATGATGATGATGATGATGATGATGATGGTGATGGTGATGGTGACGGTGATGATGATGAGGATGCGGAGGCGGATGAGGAGGAGGAGGACGAGGAAGAGGATCCAGGAGGAGGAGGAGGAGGAGGAGGAGGAGGAGGAGGCTCCAGGAGGAGGAGGCTGAGGAGGAGCAGGAGGAGGAGGAGGAGCATGCTATGCTTGTGCCTTCCCCGCAGGAGGGCGTCCCCCAGGAACGGCGTGCCGGAGAGCATGCGGGGCAACCTGAGTCCGCAGGCGCCTGGCCTCGTGCGGACCCGTCGGGCGGCTCGTCGTCGTCGTCGTCGTCGTCGTCGTCGTCGTCGTCGTCGTCGTCGTCGTCGATCGGGCACTGCTGCTTCTGCTTGCCCTTCCGCGTCGTCGTCTTCGTCGTCGTCTTCGGCGTCGTCTTCGGCGTCGTCGTCGTCGTCGTCGTCGGCTTGGTTGATGGGGTTTTCCACATCTTGTGAAGGGAAGCGCTTCCTGGTGGTCCCTGGCACAACGGTTCCGAGCGGCTTGTCCGCCAGCTCCTCGCGTAAGTTCTATGCTGCACGATGCCGCGGTAGTGATGTGCGAATGCTACTAGTATGCTATGACACCGAGCACGCCGGCGGCGCATCACGGGCCGCTGCCTGGGAGTTTGGCGAAGTGGCGCGCAGCATCGAGAGTTGTGACGCGTCGCGCATGCCAGCGATCCTAACCAGGGGGGTAGTCCCGAAAGCTTGTTTGGAGTAATCGAAGGCGCCGCCGCCTCCTGCCTTTCAGGATACGCCTACGTGGCCAAACGAATGGGCAAAGTTTTGCCGAGCAATTCAGACCATACGTTTCCCCAGCCGTTGTGGAAGAGAGTGTTCGGCACCTGGTCTAAGACCGAAATCCCTTCCCGTGCTCGGCCGCTGTTGCCCGAGCAGGCTCTTGCGATGGCAGGCTTTGCACTAGAGTAAGGAGACAAAGCGACAGCTGCAGCAGTACTGGTGTGCTTCAACGGCATCCTTCGCCCCGTCGAGTGCATGTTGACGGCCGGGCAATGCACCTTTTACCTGGACCGTGGCGTGGTGCACCTCAACCTCGGTTTTACCAAGGGAGGTAAGAGGTCAGGCACCGCCGAGCGCGTCACCATCGACGAGCTCGAGGCTGTTGTGCTCCTTGCCGAGCTTTTGCAAGGACGCCCAGCTGGCACCCAGCTGTACCCCCGCGGTACGGGCGGCTTCCGCCGTGCCTTCAGGAGACTGGTCCAGTCCATTGGGGCCGACCCTGATAGGTACAAGCCGTACTCGCTGCGCCGGGGAGGGGCCACCCACCATTTCAAGATCCTGGGAAGTCTCTCCAAGACATGTATCCGCGGCTCGCATTTACATCCAGGATGGTGTGGCCATGCTGGAGCGCCACGGCCTCAGCGCGAAGGAGCGCCGGTTGATAGCCAAGGGAAAGTCTTTGCTACGCCGTCGTCTCTGATGCCCGTGCCCTGGGCCCTCAGACGCCCGTCAGCTCCGCCAATTCAGTGTCGCGTGGGAGGTCACGCGCGCTGGGAGTGTAAGCATGGAGTGGGCGCGCGCCTGAGTGCTGCGGTTTGCCACGTTTCGGCACCCAGCGGCCAGGCAGACCAAGCCACCTCCTGCGTCCAACGTGACGCCACCGACGGCCGTCGGAGGGAGGAGAGGGCGGTTCGCCTGGGCCGCCTGGCGCCCTGTCCCTGAGGTGGCCCGCCGCATCACCACGAAGGCGCGGGCTGCCGCGGCTAAGAGAAAAGGAGCGCGGCCGCGGCAGCATCATACGGGAGCGAGGAGAGGAGAAGGGAGGAGCACTAGTCCGTCACTCATGAAGATTAGTGCGAGCTCTCTCCCTCCCCCCTCCGCGACCGCAGTTGTTTGGGTCACCGACCCCGCCCGGCAACATTGACGCCCTGAGAGTTTCCTAACCTGAATGCATCAGGGGCTCTCGCCCCCGCTGAGGGGAGAGGAATGGGCGCGCGCCTGAGTGCTGCGGCTTGCCACGTTTCGGCACCCAGCGGCCAGGCAGACCAAGCCACCTCCTGCGTCCAACGTGACGCCCCCGACGGCCGTCGGAGGGAGGTGAGGGCGGTTCGCCTGGGCCGCCTGGCGCCCTGTCCCTGAGGTGGCCCGCCGCATCGCCACTAAGGTGCGGGCTGCCGCGGCTAAGAGAAAAGGAGCGCGGCCGCGGCAGCATCAGACGGGAGCGAGGAGAGGAGAAGGGAGGAGCACTAAGTATAAGGATTAGGATAAGGATAAGGCCGTTGGGGGTCTGTCTCTTGCCGCAGAGAACTTAAGACAGTGACCCCTACACGGATGCAGGTTCCCCCTGGACCGTTGCCCGTCCTGCGGACCTGGGATGCCCCGTTACCCGGTCTGCTCCAGGTGGACGGGTTTCCCGCTAGCAGGGAGACCCTGCCCAGAAACGTCTGCTGGTTGTGCGGTGGCAGGGAGGTCGGCGCTGCGGCTGAGCTCCCCGCCACGAGCGCCGCCCAGAGGAGGGCCGGACGAACGTTGGCCAAACGCCAGGTCGACGAGAGGGCTCCTCCAGAACCGCCTGAATTTTTTCGAATTCTCCAGAGTGATTCAGAATTCTTCAGCCAGCAGGGGTTTCTGTAATGTCTTGATGAATTATGATACTTTCGGGCGAACTCTGCAATGTCTCCATGCGACCCACCAAACATCGAACCATGAGAAGATGCCGCTGATCCACCGCCTCCCCCACTCCCACCCCCCTCCTCCTCCGGATCCGACGCGCCAGATGCGCGCCGCTGGGTGGCTACTCTGTTTCATTGGACCTTATTCCTTTCCGCAGCAGGAATGGAATGTCAGTTATGAGGTTTTCATTGTTGAGCAATACAGATGCATTTCCATCTTCTGCGAAGCTCGACAATTGACCATCTTCGAATATTAAATTATGCAGAACAACGTTGATACCATCCGGCGTCCAGGTTTTTTTTTTGTGACTTGGCAAGCAATTCAACTCTGCAATAGGAACCGCCTCTTGAGATTCGCTGCGATATTGGCTGTCGAACTTGAAGACGGCATCGTCTAGACCCTCTGGCATTTGAACTGTGTTGTCAATGCTACCATGTGTCTGCTCGTCCTTCGCTGTAGGCAAACTGTCAAATGTGTATACTTACTCGCCTGTTTCTGTATGTCCAGTAAAATCCATCGTGGGAACGCATTACCCCCAACTCGATCCAGTCCAGCAGTTTGTGGCGCAGTTCGCTGTCGCATGGTGTGTTGAGGCGTCGCAATATCTGTCCGAAGCTTAGTTTGACACCCTCCATTCTGTCACTCAAAATCAAGTCGTCCACTGTGTTGTACTTGAACGATCACTGATTCGCAAATTGCAAGCGTGGCCGAGAAAACTTCGCAACTGGGTCAGGCCATCGTCTTTTCTCGTACTTATAGCATCGATGTTTTGCGTGTCTGTCATGACGCCAACTGCATGTTCGCAAGCAGTTGAATCTTCGACGTGAGGTGTTAGTGCACTGGACCCCACAGTATCGTCCACACTGGCCTCGTCCGTTGATGGTGCTTTCAATATGTGCGAAGTCCATGTACCAACCGACGGCAAATGCACATACATATGGTGTCCCACGGGCGGGAAGCTCGTTTTTGAGTTTGCGCCAGTGTCTTCCAGTGCTTGCGAAGTGTAATGGGGCTCTGATGGTAAATCTGTTATGATTTCCAGTTTGGCCTGCGGCACTTGTTTCGCACGGGTTCGACGAATCCTGCCTCTTCGTCTGGAGTTGGTGCTTTTCAAGGCCACGTGTTCTGGAAATGCAGCACAGGAAAACATGGTTACGGTAGGCAGAAGGTGTACCTAGGCCCTCCCGACTCCCCCTGCCCCCAGAAACGGTCTGGTGAGGGCCTGCGCAAGCCACTTCGGGTACCATCCTACACTCCTTACGGCTGGGATGTGTTCGATACTCTCAAACAGCAGTTTAGGAGGAGGAGGAGGAGGAAGAGGAGGAGCAGGAGGAGGAGCACGACGAGGACGAGGACGAGGACGAGGACGAGGAGGAGGAGGAGAAGGAGGAGGAGGACGATGATGATGGCGATGATGATGATGATGATGATGATGATGATGATGATGATGATGATGATGATGATGATGATGATGATGATGATATGATGATGATGATGTGATGATGATGATGATGCTGATGATATGATGATGATGATGATGATGATGATGATGATGATGATGATGATGATGATGATAGGATGAGGAGGAGATGAGAGGAGAGGAGGGGAGGAGGAGGAGGAGGAAGAGGACGAGGAGGAGGAGGAGGAGGAGGAGGACGAGGACGAGGACGAGAGTAGGAGGAGGAGGAGGAGGAGGAGGAGGAGGAGGAGGAGGAAGAGGAACAGGAGGTACAGGAAGTGAGGAGGAACAGGAGGCACAGGAGGTCTATATGCGCTCCGGCCGTGCGGCCTGAGCCCGGCCGGCGCACTCACCGGAGGAGGGGCCGACCCGCCCGCCCGCGGGCCAGGCGAGCTGGACCCCGCGGTCGAGGCCCTGCCGCTGGAGGAGGAGGAGGAGTAAGAAGAGGAGGAGCAGGAGGAGGAGGAGGAGGAGGAGGAGGAGGAGGAGGAGGAGGAGGAGGAGGACGAGGACGAGGAGGAGGAGGAGGAGGAGGAGGACGAGGAGGAGGACCCCGCGGACGAGGCCCTGCCGCTGGAGGTGACCGTGGCGGCGGTGGGCCGGCAGCCCGGCATGCGGCGCCCCTGGGGGGCATGTGGTCGTCTCACCCAGACCCCCTCGAGTCATGAAAAAATCACGACGGGAGGTTTTTCGCAATTTTCGGCCCCAGGGGGCCCTCACCGGGCCTCGGGACCGTCAAAAAACGACTCGGGATGAAAAACCGGTCCCGGGGAAGGGGTCGAGACCTCTGGGGGTCGACGTCATGAAAAATTCATGACGTCGGGGGTCTGGGCAAGCAGCGGCGGAGCGTCCTGGCTCGCCTATAGGCCTGCCAGAGAATGCTCTGGGAACCTGAATTGTGGTTTGCAGGAGACGTTCTGGGAACATTTCTGGCCGGGACTATCTTGTTGTAACACACCGGGCTTCTGCTCCTAGAGCCTTGTTTGTGTTCTTAGAACGTTTCTGGGGTCTAAGAAGCATGTCGTGGTAGGCCTATTGGAATGCCGGGACGGTCGGTCCCTGCTCAATCGTGGGGGGGAAATTCTGGGCCTCCCAGATGGGGCCTCCAGACATGCTCGCGTCGTTAAAAAGAAATCACGACAGATGGGTTTTTTGGCCATTTTCGGCCTCCGGTCGCCCGCGTCGGACCCCGGGACCATCCGGGACCGTCACAAAAACGAGTCAGGACGAAGATCCCGGGGAATGGGTTCGGACCTCTGGGGGTCGCCGTTGGGGAAAGAAAATTTAGGCCCCCCAGGTGGGGTCGGAGTAGATGGGGTCGGAGGATCGCGCCGCGCCGCATCTCGGAGAAAATTACCCTGGCGACGTACCCAACCCCTGCGCAAACGCGGGGCGCAAATAGTTTAGGACACTTTATAATGGGGGCGATGACGGAGCGAGGGTTACATATGTCTGCAGACGGAATTCGGGAGACTCGCAGGACACAGGCTACAGGACAAGGACTAGATAAAGCTGATTAGTTACAATCGGGGGAGCGTAAGACCCGGGTTTGCCAGGACTCGGGTTCGCCATTTTTTTTTGACGACCGCGACTCGGATTTTGACGAGTAGGAGTTTCGTGGGATCTCTGCAGCGGGAGGCCTCGTCAAAATGCAGGCTCGGCCTCGTCATTTTTTTGACGACCTCGTCGGGGATTTCCGAGTCCCCCGTACCGGGGTCTTACGTCTCCCCGATACAACAATCCCTGAGCAACCCTAGCCATTTCGAAAGCGGGGATCTCATATCGCAGCCCCCCAGGGATGGCGAGGTCTAATTTGGGTCCGCGCGTGGCGTCACTGTGCTGGGCCCCCCCAGCAGGCTTCGAAAGTGGCGACAGTTTCACAGATCGAATCCCCCAGGGATGGCGAGGTCTAATTTGGGTCCGCGCGTGGCGTCACTGTGCTGGGCCCCCCAGCAGGCCTCGAAAGTGGCGACAGTTTCGCAGATCGCAGCCCCCGAGGGATGGCGAGGTCTAGTTTGGGTCCGCGCGTGGCGTCGCTGTGCTGGGCCCCCCCCCCAGCAGGCCTCGAAAGTGGCGACAGTTTCACAGATCGCAGCCCCCCAGGGATGGCGAGGTCTAACTTGGGTCCGCGCATGGCGTCACTGTGCTGGGCCCCCCAGCAGGCCTCGAAAGTGGCGACAGTTTCACAAATCGCAGCCCTCCAGGGATGGCGAGGTCTAATTTGGGTCCGCGCGTGGCGTCACTGTGGCTCCCCAGCAGGCCTCGAAAGTGGCGACAGTTTCACATATCGCAGCCCCCCCAGGGATGGCGAGGTCTAATTTGGGTCCGCGCGTGGCGTCGCTGTGCTGGGCCCCCCAGCAGGCTTCGAAAGTGGCGACAGTTTCACAGATCGCAGCCACCCCCAGGGGCGGCGAGGTCTAATTTGAATCCGCCCGTGGCGTCACTGTGCTGGGCCCCCCAGCAGGCCTCGAAAGTGGCGACAGTTTCACAGATCGCAGCCCCCCAGGAACGGCTAGGTTTAATTTGGGTCCGCGCCTGGTTCCCCCGCAGGAACCAGACTTACTTCTTTGATTCGGGCCTCGCGATGGCCCCGATCGGATTCCTTGGTCGATCGTCACCGCCACGCCGCGCGGTATTCCCTCTCTTCCCCCACCTCCTCCTCCTCCTCCTCCTCCTCCTCTTCCTCCTCCTCCTCCTCGTCCTCGTCCTCGTCCTCCTCGTCCTCCTCCTCGTCGTCTTCCTTCTTCTCCTCCTCCTCCTCCTCCTCCTCCTCCTCCTCCTCCTCCTCCTCCTCGTCGGAGCTCGACGCTGCGGATGTGTCTCCTGCTGATGGCTGGTTCTAGGTGCCGTCATGTGACGGGCCGAGGCCATCCTCTCCACTTTCTCCTTTCTGGCCCACCCTGCAGGCCCTTGGTGTCCCCACAGGAACCAGACTTGCTTCTTCAGACTTTCCTCGGGCCTCGCGATGGCACTGGTCGGATTTCTTGGTCGCTCGTCACCGCCACCCCGCGCGGTCCTCCCCCTCTTCCTCCTCCTCCTCCTCCACCTCCTCCTCTTCGTCTTCCTCCTCCCCTCCTCCTCCTCCTCCTCTCCTCCTCCTCCTCCTCCCCCTCCCCTCCTCCTCCTTCTCCTCCTCTCTTCCTCCCCTCCTCCTCCCCTCCTCCTCCTCCTCCTCCTCTCCTCCTCTCGCGCCCTCCTCGCCCCCTCCTCCTCCTCCTCCTCCTCCTCCTCCTCCTCCTCCTCCTCCTCCTCCTCCCCTCGACTTCTCTTGCGGCCGCAGGGTTGTGAGGAAAGTCCGCGGCGACAAGATGGTGCTCGCGGGGTTGAGGCTCAGGCGCGTGGCCATCCTGAAGACTGGAGTCGGGCGCAAGCTGGCTGTCCGCAAGGTGGCGCGCAGCGGGCTCGAGGCGTCCGTCTCCTACGGCTTCTCCGTCACGGGCTGCGCCACCACGGAGCTCGACAAGCTGCGCACGCTCATCTTCACGGCCGTGGCGCCGAGCGTGGCGGGGCGGTCGCGGACCCTCACGCTCATGCTCACGCCCTTCCTCGACCCTGTCTACCGCGCGACGCTGGCCCCAGTGATGGCGATGCTGCGTGCGGTCTGGGAGCGCTGGGTGCCGAAGCATGTGATCAAGTATGGCCTGGCCCAGTGTGCGGCCACTAGCTGGTGCCAGGTGAAGGGGCCCTTCTCCGCGGTCAGGCTCTCCCTAGAGCGCGTGGGCTGGCAGATTGTTGACGGCAGCACCTGGCTCACGCACTGCGGTGACAGCATATGCATCTTCGAGACCTCGCCCTGGGTCGTCAAGCGCCTGCTCTGGATGGCGGTGGAGGCTTGGCAGTGGCGACAAGTTGGGCAGCGGCCTGGGCTCGCCCATCTGGCTGATGGGGGCATCCTTGAGCCCATCGTCAGGCTCACCAACGCGGGGGCGGTGCAGCGCAAGGGCTTCTTCGGCCGACAGGTGAACTACGTCGACGGTGACGCTGGCGCCGCCGCTCCTCGGCCTGTCGGTCGACCTGCTGTGCCTCCTGAGGTCGCGGCGCTGCCGTCGGGAGAGGAGGCAACTCGTGGCGGTGTCGCGCGGCATGGTGCTGTGGCTGGCTCTGCTGCGGGCGGCCTGTCAGGCCCAGCTCTGGCCAGCGTGCTCGGGCCTGGCTACCTGACCGCGGTGGAGGCTAGCGCCGCTACTCTACAAGCTGCGCGCGCTGAAGCTGGAGACGGATGGGGTGACCTCATCAACGACCTGCTCGGCCAGGTGGCGCCTGACCCCCCGCCGCGGCCAGACCCAGAAGGCGGGGCACCGCTCGCACCTGGGCTGCCTGCTGGGGACGCTGGGGTTGGTGCCTGCCCAAGCCTCATACCTCCGCGGCAAGGTGTGTCGACGGCTCCTCAGGGTGGGCTGGCGGATGCTGCCCTTAATGACGCTACTCCCCCGAGTGGCGCGCCTCGAGGAGCTACGGGACCCACACCCACTGCCGCTGGTGCGAAGCCTGCTCAGATCGCCAAGGCGATCCGTCTTGCGCCCAAGGAGTGTGGATACCTCGCCTCGGTCATCGTGTATGGCCAATGGTCGCAGCGCCGCAAGTACCTGGGCGGCTACGCCTCGGATGACAAGTGCTTGCTGTGCGGCGACGTTGGCACGCTGCTGCACAGGCACACGTGCTGCAGTGGATGGCCGTCCGAGCTGCGGCTGCCCAGCAAGATCCGTGAGCTGGCGGGCAGGGCTGAGCTCGTGGATGTGGAGTGCCTGCTGGAGCGCGTGCTGTGGCCTGCGCCCCGCGGCATCATCAAGCCGCCTCGGCCTCCTGGGCTCAGCTGGCTGGGCCAAGACGTAGGCGGAATGCTGCCGCCGGGCGACGTGTACCTGGACGGCTCCGCCTACGAGGGCGACTTCCAGCAGTACACAAGCGTCGGCTGGGCTGCGGTGGTGCTGCAGGAGGACGCGGACGCCCTCCGCGCTGGCATCTCGGGCACGCTGTGCGAGCCCTTCGCCGACATCAACGGCGGCGAGCTGGCCGCGCTCATCGGCACGCTGCGCCATGCCGTGCCGCCCGTCAGGGCCATCGTCGACTCCGACTTCGTGTTCAAGGGTGTGCTGGAGCACGGGCCGCTGCTCACGACGCGCTGGGGCTACGCTTGGGCCCACCTCTGGCGCGAGCTCTGGCGGCTTGTCGAGGACTTCGGGGGGATAGGGCCGCATGGCCTGACCCTCAAGAAGGTCCCTGCGCATGTCCCGCGACGCCGAGTGACCGACGACGGCGTCATCACCGCTCGCGACTGGATCGGCAACTGCATCGCTGACCAGGCCGCGAAGTGCGCGGCCGAGCGCGCGAGGATTGCGCCCGAGGACCGACAACGCCTGCAGTCGGCACGGGAGCTGGTCGAGGGCGTGGCCATGTGGGTCTCAGCTGTTGGGGCAGCTGTGGGCGGGGACGACACCACCCACCGCGCGGCGAAGCCCAACAAGGCGGCCCCGCGAGCAGCGTTGCAGCCAGCGACTGCCAGGCTAGGCTGCGAACTCCGTGGGCCGCCTGGGGCGAGATGGTGCAGCAGGTGCCGCTGGCTGGAGCGCGCCAGCGAGTGCCCAGGCTCGATTGTGACGTCCGCCCTGGACAACAATAGGAAGCTGAGGGCCCAGGGCGCGCTGGCGCACGTGATTGTGAAGATCGAGCCGCAGGTCGAGGCCCAGCTGCAACGTGAGATGCCGCTGCTGGCCTGCCTCGTCTGCGGAGCCACAGGTGCGGCGAGGAGCTCGTCCTTCGCCCGTGCCTGCGGGGAGCCCGGAGCAAAGGGCAAGCTGGCGATTGCTCGGCTCGCCAAGGGCTTCGCGCCAGGCGCCGCAGGCCGTGTGGCCGTCAAGTTCGTGCAGCTCGACGACCACAGCGTCGTGGACGACGGCGCGGAGCACGGCGGCGGCGGCCTGGACGGGCCGCTGCCCTGAGGCGCGCGCGGGGGGAGGAGGCCCCACATCCCCGCGTGCGCCCCTGACTTCGTCGCGGTGCACTTCGGCGAGGTCGCAGCGGGTCATCCTGACCCGCGCCCGAGCGCGTGGGGCGCGCTCGGGCGCCAGCGCGGCCGAACGCCCGCGCTGATGCGAGCGCATCCTCCTCCTCCTCCTCCTCCTCCTCCTCCTCCTCCTCCTCCTCCTCCTCGCGCTCTTCTCCTCCTCCTCCTCCTCCTCCTCCTCCTCCTCCTCCTCCCCCTCCCCTCCTCCTCCTCTTCTCCTCCTCCTCCTCCTCCTCCTCCTCCTCCTCCTCCTCCCTCCTCCTCCTCCCCCTCCCACTCGCGCCCTCCTCGTCCCCCTCCTCCCCTCCTCCTCCTCTCCTCCTCCTCCTCCTCCTCCTCCGCCTCCTCCTCCTCCTCCTCCTCCTCCTCCTCCTCCTCCTCCTCCCCCTCCCACTCGCTCCTTCTTCTCCTCCTCCTCCTCCTCCTCCTCATCATCATCATCATCATCATCATCATCTCATCATCATCATCAGCATCATCATCATCATCATCATCATCATCATCATCATCATCATCATCATCATCATCATCGTCATCAGCATTCATCATCATCATCATCCTCCTTTCCCTCCTCCCCTCCCCCTCCTCCTCCTCTTCCTCCTCCTCCTCCTCCTCCTCCTCCTCCTCCTCCTCCTCCCCCTCCCACTCGCGCCGCAGGTGCTGCCTCGACGCCCTGCGGGCCGTCCTCCGGGCCCTGCGCGCCGGCGACGGCGCGGACGACGGCACGCCCGCGGCGCGGCCCGAGCTGCACGCCGCCGTGGAGGGCTGTGGGATCCTCCTCGTCCTCCTCTTCCTCCTCGTCCTCCTACTCGTCCTCCTCCTCCTCCTCCTCCTCCTCCTCCTCCCCGACCTGTTACCCCGTTACTGCGAAGGCCTTACGGTCGGTGCTGGCAGGAGGAGGAAGAGGAAGTGGAGGAGGAGGAAGACAAGTGTAGCCCCAAGACGCATCAACGATGCTGCAATACATCGTCCCTCCAAGTTCCCTCTCATAAGGACTACGAGATATTGTTTTCATTCCGGGAAGTGCCCCTTTGGAAGACAGCCGCCTGAGAGTCCTGAAACGTGCCTAAACACCACACCTGAGATTGCAACGCCGCGAATCAACGTGACTGTTTCGTCCTGACAAGCCCACATGTTGCCAGAACACAATTCATGGGACTGCGTCGCTGCGAATTAGCGTGAGTGGTACGTCCTGACAATCGTAAGTCGTGCCATAGCACCATTCGTGGGACTTCAACCATGCGAACCCTTGAGACGGCTGCAAGCTTTTAAGACAAATGTCCGCGGCGCTGAAGTTGGAGCCGCCTCTTTCAAAGGAGCCGCTCTGCATCCGTGAAACTGCTGCAACATTTCACGACAAATACGGTGGAAACGTTTGTTAAGGAATAGTCCCAGGAGGCGCCAGACCATGGAGGATTCCTTATCCAATGAGGGCGGCGGTGATATCCATGGCCGATCCACGATTGGAGTTCCGCTGGCTTCCAGACCCTGGATTCCTTATCTAAGGGTTCCTTGTCCAGTTCCCACACCGACCGTAGCCATTTTGGCTCAAGTTTCCTATCCAGTGGTGCTGTCCCGCCGGTCCGCATGTCCGGGTGCGCAGGCGCTGCTGGAGGACACTGGGAGCTGGCTGCGGGGGGCCGCCACCGGAAGGCGGAGTGTCCCGTGCGATATCTTCGTCGGGAGGAGGCCTCTCGGCGAGGGGCCTCTGCGGCTCGGCGTGAGGTCAGGCGGCGCGGGCGCGTTGCCCTGGAGCGGAGCCTCTGTCGTGCGCTGGGCCGCCCCGGCGGGCACTGGTGCGGCGCCGCACTCGGGGCGCTCGGCGACGAGGTGGCAAGAAGAGGGCGCGTCTCTCGGCCTGCCTTGGTCGTGGGGGTCATCGGAGCGCGGGCGAGGCCTGGGCAGGTGCGCCCCACACGCCGGCAGCCTGCCCGAGGGCGGGGTGCCTCTGTCCGCATGGCGTCTCGCTGAGCGGGGGCCGCGCCTCGAGGAGCAGTTCGAGGAGCCGGCCACGCTTCCCGAGGTCCCGATGGGCCTGGACGTGGACCTCGAGGCGGACCTGCCTTTCGCGGGCGGCGTTGCAGGCGCCCGACGAAGACGGCGACGACTGCGTGTTCGGCGGCGGCAGCGTGGATGCGCCCGCGACAGGCGAGGGTCGTGCCGTATCCTCGGCAGCTGATGCCAGGTCGGCCGCGCGGGCGGACTGTGCAGGCGACGGGCCAGGCGATCGGTGCAACGAGTGCCTGGCCACAGGAGATTGGCTGGTGGACCAGCATGCCGAAGCGGAGGCTTTCGTAGAGGGCCTGGCTTCGGGCTGGCGGCTGGCTGAGCAGCGCGTGCGGCAGCAGGTCCAGGACGTTTGGGACGAGCTGACGGAGCTGCTCGTGGGCTCCCCCCCCAAATCAGGGGCACCCTGCAGTTCTCGGAGCCGATGCGGGCGGGTTCTCGCTCCTGCAGGTCGGTCCAGGAACTGCGGGGCCTCATGTCTGTCTGGCGCTCACATGACGCAGTCGCCACCCAGCACTTGGCGAAGCTCATGGACACAATCGAGGCCTGGGGCGGCCTCCTTCGCTCTGGGCGGGACGGCATGGTGGCCTCGGGCGGCTTCGCGACGGTCGAGAGGACCGAATCGGGTCGGCAGTCCGAGAGCGAGCCCATGAGCGACTGCGCTGGCGAGGCCGATGCCGTGGCTGAGGCAGATCCGCTGCAGTGGCGCCGAAGCCAGCGCGAGCAGGACGTAGACTACCTGATGAAGGCCTTCTGCGCGGAGATAAGCGGGCTCGAGCGGTCGCATTCCGCGTGCGACCCGCGAAGCGGCTGCTGGAACGCCTCGGTGCGCGCGGCGACCGCGCGGGCGCGGGCTGTGGACCCCAGGCTTGCGGGCCTGCGA